ACAGGGAGGACTCTCCTCGCTCTGCCAACCAATGCGTCTGTCTTGTGAATGCTTGCGCCACCTTCGAGGTACCCTCCATCGACTTTCGGCTCGGAGTCTATGCCCTGGCTGTCACCAAACCTCAACCTACCGTACACACACAGTAGGCAGTGCCCAGCGAAAACTCGGTCTTGAAGGGGGAACTCCTGCCCAGCCAGCACGATCTCCAACAGCGACACTTGCGACACCGTCAATGCGTCTCTTTGCCTCCGCACTCTCTTAGTGAGGTAGCTTCTATGTGCAGAGCCAGTGATGCGACCACTCTGCAATATTTCGTCCACCCCCTCCAACTATATAATTCCTTTGCAAAAGGCAAGTGCGCTCCTGAAGCTGTTCGCACGAGTGGCTGGGGCACCATCCTTCCGCAGCTGGTCAACGTACTGGTACACTTGGGCCTCGACGATAGGGAAGGGTGGACGTCCTTTCGATCTCGCCCACCTGATATAAATCATCATGGCGCTCAACCTCACTTGCAGCGCCCCATTCTTCTTCTTTGCAAAGATGTCATCGAGCACTGTCTCACCAACCTGATCGAGCATGCCCGCTGCCTTGCAAGACTTCCTGGCTTCATCGATCACGATCTTCCACCCTTCCATCACTTTCTCTCTTTCCGTTTCCATGGCCTTGGACCACGGCATCTTCTGTCCACCGTCGAGCTTGAAGCTTGGCACCATCTTCCATGCGTCCTCAACCTTCTTGATCTCGGGCTGCACCTCCCCGTCCACCTGAATTGCATGAGGGGCTCTGGTCTTCTCATCCAGGAACTTGGTCTCTAGGACTGATGACTTCCGCTCCAGCACCAAGCCTGCGAAGCCTTTCTCCCAAGGCATCTTGAGCTCGCCTGTGACGTGGAACTTCAGCTTCTGGACTTCGGACCGCCCCATCTCGTACTCATCACACAAGACTGGCTCACCTGGCGTCAATGCCTCTGCGTTCTTCGTCTCCTTCATGTTCTCGACCAACTTCTTGAGGGCCTCCAATGGACTCAGCTTCACCTGCTCAGGCTCACTGTTGGAGTCGACATCCATGACTTCGGTCGGGGACCCTGATCTGTTGCCCCCGCCATCTCTGACATCTTCAGCTCTCATGTCCTGGAGCTCCTTGAGTCTGGCAGTCATCTCTCGGATGTTCCCCACCGGCTCGAACTCCTGGGTGAAGTCCAGTTGGGCGCCCTCGTCATCGGTCACCAAGATGGGCCCCCCCGCACCACTTCCCCTTTGCAAGGGGGCCATGACCACATCGTCATCCAGCTCCATGGCTGAAAAACAACAGGAGTGCGGGGGGCCCCTTACTTGGAGCCAAAATGGCACGTGGATTCGACCGTACGTCACATGGTTCCTCCGGAGGGATCCCTGTTTCTATTTGTCAAAATACATCATCACTACGTGACAGATTGCATAAGCGCCCAGAGTACGCATAGATTCTAAAATCTTTGCTTTATATTTTTTTGAGCCTGCCAGGGTTTTGCGACTATGGGCTTTTGAAATTTTTGATATTTCGAGCCTGCCAGGGAATTTGCAATATCACGTGCAGCAAAGGTTGCAAATTTCTTGGCAGGCTCCAAAAAGTAATAATATATTAGTTTATATTCCTTCCCTGCTTCGCCTGCTTCCTGCACTGGTACGAGGCTCGGCTTTTCTGGGCCGATGAGTTCGAGCCGTCGCGCGACATCTACCTGTGTTGCCTCTTGCCATGCTCTCTAAGGGCTTCAACCTTTGTCCCGCTATGTCCAAAGCCGCAGCCACGCGGCCTCTCAAAGCCAGGTCGATGATAGCTGCAAGATGCTGACTCTTGCGGGCTAAGGGGATGCTCATAGAAGGCTGTAGGCGCACTCGGAAGTAGTGAGAGACAATGGGAGGGACTGTACCCTCCTTGGTGCCTTTCGCCAAGCGTCCCTCTGCCGTGAGGAGCTGCTCCTTCATGTCGTTGACACAGAAGCTGGCATCAGGGCGCCTGGAACCCGCTCCCCCAAAAGTTGTCGAAGAATCATCCGAGTCCTCCTCTGGAGCGTGACCGCAGCTTCCTCTTCTTCCCCTTGCGGATCTTTTCGCGCCTTCATCATCAGGGCCCGACGGGTGTCCACATCCAGGTCCAAGCCGGTGTTCTTGAAGGCGCCTTGCAAAGGCACTTCGAGGCATGCCTTGACCTTTGCCTTCTTCTTTTTTACCTTCTTCCCCGTCTGCATAGGCGCCACGTTGCGGAATAGGTCTCCTCTCCTGGCTGGGCAACCTGGATGGCTGGGAGGTCCTTCCTTCCTCACACGACCTGGTCTAGGGCTCCGGCTGGGTGTCTTCCCAAGTCGAGGTGACGCTCCGCTTGATCTCCGCACCTCTGGGCTCTTCACCACTGGATCTCTTTCTGCGCCTTCTCCTTTGGCGGCTCCGGGAGTGTTCAGAATCGTTCTCCCTCGCTTTTCTCTCCTTCCTGGACTCCTTCTTGGGTGGGTCCTCAACTCCGGGAGATCCACTCTTTTCTCCCTTTCCTGCAGTGTCTTCCTCGGGCTCCGGGGCGGTAGAAGGTCTGGCTCTATCCTCTGCTGGCTTGGTCTCTCTTCTTCCTTCACGGGAGTAGCTGGTGCACTGGCTTGCTGGGGGCTGCGGCAGGGCTCTTCTTTGCTGCAAAGTCTTTGCTGCTTCCTTGGCGGCTTTCTTCTCCTTCTTTTCTTTCTTTGCTGACACTCCCTCTCCCAGGAGTTCACCACCGCCAACCGCGGGAGTTCCAGAGGTGGCAGCCTCTGTTCCTCCCCTCTCTGCGAGATCTAGAAGCTCTGCGTGTACGGTGCGCAGCCGCTCAACACCAAGCCTCTGCACCGCCCCACTGACCTCAGGGTCGTAGAGCACCGAGAGGATCCGGCGTGTCGCAAGACAGAGGGTGCACGAGCAGCTCTCCCACTCGTGCCCCCCTGCCATACAAGCTGAAGCCGAGACGCTGCGGATTCAGTCAATGCCGGTGCGTGGGTCATATACTGGGGATGTTATGTCCGACCTCATCTGAAGACTAAACAGATTGTGGAAGCAAATACACTAAAGCTTGCAAGATCATGCAGAATTTAAGGTTAACCACGGACCCATTTGTGCCTAGAAATTTATACATGCAGCTAAACAAATGAAGCAAGTCTCAAGATTTCAAGTGACACCATCACAGGCTCACCTTCACGCCGTGCTTTTCAGCCCAGTCTTCGCCTTCCATCTCCTTGCAGCACTCAAAGCGAAAGTATGTTGGTTATTGTTTGGGGTGTGAGAAGAGCCCACCTTCAAGGCTTTGTCCAATTGCCTCAGCGTCTGTGATGTGGCTGCACTGTTGACAAGCCACTGAGAAAAATTGGCCTGAGGTCTTCGCTTGACCACACTCATGTACTCCGAGACTGTCTTATCGTGCTCTTTCTGCAGAGCGACGCGAACATGTTCCAAAAGAAGCAAAAGCCCTAGCCTAGCCCTGCAGTGCTTGCGATGTCACAACACACAACAAAATGAAGCACTCAATGCCGCACGCCTTCATTCGGGCCTTCTCATTGATGGATGCCATTCGAGACTGGAAGGTAAAGTCAGCAACGAGCGTCATATTATACATGTGGCCATCGGCAGTCAAGACTTTGGCGTCAGCCGTTATGTCTCGCCTCTTCACTTGTTGCATGATTGATGATGTCAGTCATCCGCTTTTTGGCCTGACAGCGAAAGGGGGCTTGCTTCAAGTACGAGACTATCTTTCCAAGAATGCGGTCAATTTTTGAGGTAATCAAATGCAACTGAGGAGTCACCATAGGATCTGTTCCATTTGTATATATATATATAATTGGAGTCCGGATTGGAGTCCACACCTCAGTCCAACTAGAATTCTCCTGGGCGTAGTAGTCGAGGTAGTCGTCAACTACAGACTCGGTATGTCAGACACAGAAAGTATTCCTGGAGTGGATGGGTTTGAGTGACTGCCTCTTTGATAGCCATGTGGTATGGAGATTATATGCACATGAGCTTTGAAAAGAGAAGAAAACAAAAATACCGTTTACCTACATGTTGCAAGGCAAAAGTAAGGCTGACACCAACAAGTGAGCAACAACAGCTCCTTCACCTGGCCTAAACAAACCATGGAGTGGCGCTCTTTTTAACACAGCTTTTGTCAAGCATCAGTCGAAAAGACAATCCACATCTTGTTCCAACATTTTGAGTTGTTGCTCAACAGAATTGGCCGTAAATGTACGTTCTATGATTCTATAGCAAAGCTTCAAGCATGGTCACGAAACCACTGCAGTGAGCAAGAACTGCGAATCTTCTGGCTGCCTGGAGACTTCATTGCCGGAGGCTGCACGCAAAGCTGCACCTGATCCGAAGCAAGCTCGGCAGCTTGTGAATTGGAACTGAATCTCTGCCTTGCACTTGGTACAGCAATATGGGCAGCGTCAAGATGGGCAGAATCGCCATATCCTCAAGCGAATTCAACCGATTCCATGCATTCTATTCCCAGTCTTCTAAGTCTCACACGGCGGAGCTGATTTTCCAGCTCTGCAAGCCGATATACGAAGACATCCAAAGAAATTGAAAACCATCCACAGTAGGCAAAACCTCCCAAGAAAAAGAAGTTGCTTGATGCGTCCTTCAGCCTTTCCTTCAAAATGTTCAAAAGGAATCTCTGGCAGCAGCACAACAATTGTACCTTTTCTGTGGGAAAGCCCAAGAAGCTGCTCACAGCTTGAGAGGACAGCAAGGTGCTCACAGCTCGCTGTCCAGCTTAAAAATTGGACTGTGCAAGTCGGGCAGGCCGTGCGTGTCGAAGGCTCGGCCTGCTTTTGAACTGTAGACGAGAGAGAATAAGGGACGGCCTTTGCAAGAACTGCAGTTGGCCAGTCACCAAAGGCTCTTGATCGAAAAGCAGGACCTGGTTCAAAAGTAGGTCTAGCTCATCCTCAAAACTGGGGTTGGTTGTGAAGCCATGACGAACACTTATATACCTTTTGCTACGTGCTTAGCGCATCGCTTCACATCCAGTAAAAATTGATTACAAAAATGCCCCTCTCAGCTCAGTGTGGGAACACATGGGAATGTCCCCCCAACTCATGGACTTTTTGAGCCTGTGAAACAGGACACGTCAGAATGACATCATGGCAGGATGACAGGACTGCTTTCAAATTGGCCTAGAAGACAAAGAGCTGGCTCCCTCGTCCACTTCAATAAAGGTCCGCGCTACCTGAAAGCATCATTTGGTGTGCTTGGCAAGGTATTATTTCTGGTAGTCTCACTCTAATTCTTCATATTTCTTCCATTGGCTCCTTGATGTTCGACTGGGGCAGCTCCACGTGAGCTTTGCCACTGGCCTCACAAGAAGTGCTCTGCATCACAAACACATGACACTGAATAAATCGAGCTATGACATGACTGTCTCCTGCACCCGCGACTTTGAGGTCTTGCCTCGCAAAGGCTGACAATACAAAGTTGCTGTGAGACATGGGCCACCGGGGCCTGAGCCACCAAGCTTATCCTGTGCGAGTCAAACAAACTGAACTGACCCTCTGTGTGACTCTAGTAGCAAATAGCTACTAGTAACTTCTTGTTACTAGTAATGCACTTGTTACTAGTAGGGATGCCCTTGTTACTAGTGGAATTGCTCTGCAATTACTTCATATTGATTCCATTGTTTTTACACTGAGCAATGCTTACTAGGTTGGAAGAAAAGGGAGGAGGTTTGTGAAGGCAAAGTCCACCAAAAAGGGGTATGGTGAAACGCAACAACATGTATTATTTGAAGTCCATGCATCGCTAAGCATCACTTTAGAGCCAAAATTCAAGTTCTTGCCTGCTTAGGCTCTGTAGAATGCTTTGCATCCTGGGCCTCTGCTACCTGAGAACTTCGTCCCTCTGTTGTCTGGGAAAGTCCGCGGACATCCTAGTGGTAATGAACGCAAGTACAGCTAGCCAGGTGGCAGAGCACAGGTGTTCAAGATGATGTCACGACAAGGTGTCGCTTAGTTCTAGTTCAGAAATAGGTTTGTCTTCTCTTGAAGCTGATGACAAATTGGCCAAAAATGAATTACTACAGTTGCTGCAAAGAGTAGGATTCATGAAGCGCTCAACGCGACGACTCAAAGCAACTACTCAAAGCTAAGAAAACAACTGTGGGGCCAAGGAATCGCAAAGATGCCATAGCCCTTGGCGGCATCGCAGTGTCTCCTTGCTGCAGCGGAGAAGAATGGTGACTTTTTAGCTTTAGACAGGGAAGCCGCGCCATTCAGCCATCTTGATGTAGCCATGAGGATCACGCGACCCTGTTCAGCAGCAACACCTGCCAAGGGGACAACGGGTGTACTTTTTCATTGGCTCGGGTGATGCACATCAGAGGGTCAGTGGTTCTGGATTCACATAGCTGGGACAAAGACAATCTTAGGCAGCCCACCAAGTCAAAATATGTGTTTCTCTTCCACTGCCACTTGCAATCCCAAAGATTCTGGACACCAAACACCTGATGTTTATTGGCATTGGTACCCTGAAGTACTACCCTCAAGGATGCCAAACAGCGCATGTCCCTGGTCTCTCCATTTGTTTGTTCACACAGAATTTCCAAGTTACATATTCATTACACTGGCCGACACTTTTTGCAGAACTGGCCCAGACTTATCTCTTGCTACTCGGTTCTACGCATTCATTTCCACCATGCAAGTAGCTCGATGTCAATACAGAATCACATTCTGTCTTGATAACGGCTTCGTAGACCTCACTACTACAGAACACCCTATTTTTCCGCTTGGGCAGCAGTCTTCAAATTCTCCCAAAAAAACACAATACCCCCCCTTGGGGGGCCCCTGCCAAAAGCAGGATTGAAAGCCGTTGAGGTCTGAAGGTGTAGTTGGACTAGCCACTACCACTTTGTAGAAGCCACAAGCAAGTAGCCTGCTCCGGTGTTTGCAAGTAGGAAGCCAACCCCCTCAACCATGGCATATATACTGTACAGAATATATATAGTTATATAATTGTTTGCATAATTCAATTTCCGCTATCTCGGCTACTGTTTCTTTTGGGCGCAGCAGCGTGGCTTGCCTCGTTCTTTGTCCCACAAGGACTTTAAAGGATCCCAAGCATCCTTTGCCAAGAAGGCAAATCTTATAAAGAGAATCAAGTCAAGCAAAATTCAAGCTGCAACTCAACAAAGAAAGTGTGTTCTGAAGACAGGATATGGCTGGCAACAACATCTTCCCACAAGGCAAATAGCCCGTCACCAATTGCTGAGCTTACTGCAAGGGGCTCTATATTCAACTTGTCATTCCGGCTGGAGCAACCGCCATTCTCCTTCGCGAAAGAACTGAAGAACATGTGTGCTGCAAAGGAAAGCACAACCCCGGGCCGGTCGCACCTTGACGTTGGATTTGTCCAATAGAGAGACCTTGCAAAATGCTCCAAACTCTTTCACTGGCTCTCCATTCTGTCAGCTCTTGAACTGCACAAAGCAAAAAAAGTTAAGTTGCTTGACTCGCTGCGAACTTGTGCCTGGAAACCCCTTACCGTCTCGCGATAAGAAAAACAGAATCGCTTCGCGATCTGCTCGTTCTGCACTTTGGGGCAGAAATGTCTCGCTTCAATTTCTCAGCTTGGTAAGCTGGACCTCTGGGTGGTCTACCACATGTCATTTTGACGGATTACGCCCACGATTTCCAGCTGTCCAAAATTATCACTTACAACTTAGCCATCAATTTCAGCTGTACACGGACTGCTCCCAGCAGTCCAATGAAAGCAACTTTGCTTTCAAATCCTGGGCAAGGCCGCTGCCACGTAGGACCGGCTCCACAGCCACAGTGAAACTGCTGAGCTTTTCTGCCGCGAAGATGAACACAAATGGTTTGCATCGGAGCTTTCATGGCTTCCACTTTCACTTCCGCGTGCGTGACCTGGTATCGCCAATGATGACAAATTGTTTGATTCTCTTACCATGCTCCACATACCTTCTCACAAACCATTCGTTGGTGCACCAAGCTGCGTTTTGCAGTAGCGCACTGTTCACTATCGTGTGTGAGACTAGCCTCCGATCGTTCCTTCGTTCATCGAGCATAGGTTCCTGTTTTCTACTTATCATAAACGCCCTCCTGTACTGTGATGAACGCTGTGTCTGGTTGAGACTGCCTCATGCATGAAGAGATGATGGGCAACAAAAGAAGGCAGAAGGAAGCCGCTGCCAAAATTGCAGCTGGAAAGGAAAATCATGTAGCTTCACGCTGTAGATCAAGACAAGGATGCATGACCTGCAGGATCGCTTCTTGACATCATGGCGATAAGAATAAAAGACTGGCGACGCGGCTACGCTTGCTGAGGCCCTCAACCCAAATCTCTGATGCCTTGCCAAGTGTCAGGAGCCTCACACATTGCATAGGTGCTCGCAGGCTTTCAGGGCTCTGCCACTATCCTAGACACTTGCTGTGGTTTTTCTTATTTAAGGAGGATAGGTCACGAAGGGAGAGTGGGGTAGAAAATAGATAAAAATAGCTAGTAGCACTAGTAAGAGAAGCTGCTAGTAGCAAATTGACACAAAAGAACCCAAGCTCGAAGATTTTGAGAGCACTTCGTGGGATATGGAAACCCCAGAATCCTGCCTCGTAGTTGGTTCGCTCCATAAACTTCAGCAAGGCAACACTGGGCCCATCCTGCATCGAAATCAATATGAAAAATATCGTGAACCCTCTGTGGAACTTCCAGTGACAGTGCTATTGCAAAGAAGCCGATCAAAGCTGGCCTCTACGCCGAGCATATCCCTGGTGCGCTGAAGCAGTCTTTGTGCAACCTGGTCCCAGGTATCAGTCTTGACATAAAGTCTGGGTGAACTGAGTGGGCACTGGTCTATGTTAGGTAAGCACATATAAGGACCAAAACATATTTTCCTTCCAGTATACAAGCCTCTTTAGTCACAAAACGCGCACAAATCATGCCTGCCATTCACCCTGGGAGTAGTTCTGGTAGCCCATGTTGAATACCTGATGAGCCAAACTGACTTCAAACTAAGAGAAGCACAGCAACATCTCAATTGAATGCAATGTTGTCCGTGAATAAGTCGCAAACATGGATGAACTCCAGCGTGTAGCGGAAACGCATAGAGGCTATATCTGGCAATCAAAGTTGACGGATCTTTGAGATACTTCCACTTGGCTACGCATGTGATTGCACTGCCGGCCCTTCAACAATGCTCATGAAATTCACGTGTCAAATGCAGTCTCTCTTCAACACGTTCACTCCATCATTTCATGATGCGCATGTAGCTCAGCTGGAATCCGAACAAAAAATGCTAGTACAGTGGCCGTCCACCAGCGACACAACTGACATCCTTGCCTGCATTCTCATTGAACAAATTTACCATCTTGACCTCCAAGAAAACCATTCATAAAGCAACACATCACAGAAACAGCACCAAATTCGCTTAGGCACCCCATCGGCCAACTTCTGTTCCTTCTCATTCTCCAAGAATTGTCGCACCTGAAGGAACAGACTTTTCATGGGGCTCTTAGCTTAGCTTCTTGCCCCTTCCATGTCATGGAAGTGCCTTGAAGCGATCTCTGGTCGTCCATTTTTGAGGTCCAAGAGGAGGCTCAACCTTCACAGGGCGGCTCGAAGGACAATACAGTCTGTAGTCCAAGAGACGGTGGTCCTATCGCGGCTAAGACTTGCTAAGGAACTGTTAGGCTCAAGTAGTCAAGGTCAATCACATAGAGATCCATCGGCACAACAGACCTCGCTTGAGCGGAGAAATTGTGATGCATCAGATCAAAACAAATTTATCTCCGGGCTCAAATGGGTTCGGCTACACCACAAAGCTCAGTCGTCCACCCAGTGATGATGACCCGATCGATCAACCGGCATTTGGCAGCCATCGGAGGAGAGCAGATTGACACGACAGATTCTGCAACCTGATTGCCGCACAGGGAACAAGGAGCACGAATCTGTCAATTCTGCGTGGAAGGCAGGTGAGCGGAACGTTTCGGCTTCTGTGTTCTTTGCCACAAGGCACTACTGTGCTATGACTAGAAGCTGATGCAAAAAGTAGAGCCCGATGGCAATTTAAGAAGGACCTACCTGATCTGCAGGCACCTGATTTAGTGGCTGCAGCCCAATGAACGCAAACCCCCCAGTCATAGGGTTGTGACCAGAACGCTCACGCCATAAATCTGCGTTGCACGCTCCACTGTTTCAGCAATGCTAACCTCAATCAGGAGCACAAGAATCAGGATTTAAGAAAGTTAATATCTGCAAAACGAACCTATTTCAAGCACTAAACAATGAGCCGCTTGCATTTGGTGACAAATAAGATGCATCGATCTTGAATTCACTGCCAACAGCTCCTGCAATGTCCATTTGCTCGGATTGAATGTGTGGAGCAGAAGACCCATTGTGCAAAAGGGCCAGTAAAGGAATGATTCCAGAAATTAACATCTAGATACATTTAGCATAAAGCTAAAAAGTCTCGAAGCAGCATCCACCTTCGATGGCCCAGCCATAGTGAAGGCCGCTGCTTAGATTTACCCTGACCACATGGTCTGTGCTTTCTGGCTTCAATAGTAACAAGAAGCTACTAGGAGCAAAGGGCATCGCTACTAGGAGCAAGGACGCGACTAGGGGCTCCTGGCCTTACTACTAAGAGCAAGGACGCTAGAAGTAACACATTGCAATTGCATTTGCTTTCGCATCCCAAAGAGCGAAGGCTTTGGAATGGCTGCTGAATTTCCAGGCCTGCAGTTCTTACCAAGACGCTGCTGAAGGCCAGGGTGACCTTGTGTGCAAAATGGCTCGACTTCAGCCTTTGCTTATAAAGCACCACACCTCTATAGGCTGCCAGCACCGGTGTTCGGTGGATGGCTCCCAATATCCTGGCACTCACTTTACTTTTAATCCATCAAAGCTCCAAAGGCATGCTCGCGAAGAGTGAAATTTGAGAAAATGACAGTAAACATCCCTTTCACATCGAACCTAGTGAAGGCCAGAATGGACATATCAGCAAGTTTTGCCACCTGACACGAAGGCAATCAGCTAGTGTCAAGACTACAAAACCCATCAAAACAGGCCTTGTCAATATCCCCCATCACTCTCCAAATCATTAGGAAAGTGTCACCTGGGCATTCACATCTTACTTTGTCTTCATAGATACTGTGTTATCGTGTTCGACAACTAGAACTGCCAAAGGCCAGGACCATTGTTCTTGTTTGCTGCTCCGTGAAACTCATCCACAACACCATGGACAATCTGCAATGCGCGTAAAGGCAAGCCAAATCCGACGCGACATATTGAAAAAATGCGTTGGCCGTGGTGCTGAATGCAAAAATGACAACGTTATCAGTAGTTCTGACCATGATGTCTCCGCCTCTGCTATTTGGTTGACAAAGGTCATGACCTTTGCCTGCAACACCTGGCACCATGCAACTTCACCGTACGCCGCACTTCGTTGAACATTTGCATTTTGAAGGCTAATATGAAGTGCTCCTCCTCGCCTCAGTAGCGGTGCTAAAGTCTCTGATGCGGGTGGCACCAATGATGCACTCAACTCGCGCTCCTTCGACCATAGCCTGGCAAATGGCTTTTCTTGCACTGTACTACCATCTATTTGTGCTTGGTTGTTGCTTGTTCTCCAGTTAACTGACAACCAAGGATAGGATAGAATTGAGCATCCAGCAGAAAGCAACCAAACAAATCGATCGGATCAAAACTTGCAAGGTGTTCATCAACGCAGGCACTGTCAACGCCGTGCATGTTGTGCTCAATGATGTTTGCTCCAGCCTGCATTCTGAGCCAGCAAACACTCGCTTCAAATGTTCAATCCGAAACTTTCGCAACTGAGCTGGCTGCCTCTCCAAAACCTAAAGCCAACAAGGACCCAAGTTTGATGATGGTCTTCTCCAGAATCACCTGGGTCAGCCAGCATCCTGTTGAGATCTTCTCGTCTGTCTTTGTGCTGAGCAAGGTTCAGTTTCCATGATCTCAGCATTGTCTTGTCTTGTTTTGCAGCCTGTCCATTCCATGACAACCTGTCAAGAAGAAGTGCATATTTGTCAGTGCCCCTGGTCTGTCCTGTTGGTGTTTTGTAATATTTGGCCAGTCTGGACTGATCTGGTGCTGCTCAATCCGGTGAGATGGGCCTGAAGGCGTGATTTTTCCTGCAGTGTTTGACTCGTGAGGCAAAGTGCTCTTCCAAGTTCCTACTAACGATGGCCTCAAACCTACTAGCGATGGCCTGCGATGGCCTCCAACCTACTAGCGATCGCCTCCAACCTACTAGCGATGGCCTCCAACCTACTAGCGATCGCCTCCAACCTACTAGCGATGGCCTCAAACCTACTAGCGATCGCCTCCAACCTACTAGTGATCGCCTCCAACCTACTAGCGATGGCCTCCAACCTACTAGCGATCGCC